GGACTGTCTTTTATCTCTTTAGCCCGCAGTGCAAAGCAGAGTGTCAGACATATTGTAGGTACTTTGTAAATGTTTACTGAATGAATGGATAAATGATGGCTAAAAGTAGGATTGTTTAAAAAGAATGATTCCTCAGGATGCCTAATCGTAATTTTTAAATACCCATGTAGTTCAAGAAATGCTTTCTATATCCTAAGAATTTTCATAGACTTTAAATAACTTATTGATAGAGAATATTTCTATAAATGGCTTAATATCATAATGATACTTTTATTAGAAGTAAAGTGAAATGACAAAGGCTTTGAGAATTACTTAAAAGGGATGCCTGTAACTGAAAAGGGTGGCTTTGGGGGGAATTGATAAGCTAAACATAGACACACATAGCATTGCTATTTTAAAAGATTTTAATTTTACAGACTACCTTTGAGGTAAATTATTTATTTACTGTGACTCTGGAGGATAGCAAGATGGAATTCAAAGTGTGAAATGATAAAGGAAGAGGAATAAAAGGGTAAGGGAAGAAAACTAACATTTATTGAGCCTCAGTTTATAAGCCAGACAGTGCCAGGCATGGGCATGTCACAAAAGCTAATGTTTAATTCTCCCAACAACTTTTGAGTGTGTAGTCATGTGTCATTTAACAACAGGGCTGTGTTCTTAGAAATGTGTCTTTAGGCAATTTTGTCATTGTGTAAATATCATAGAGTATACTTTTACAAACCTAGATGGTATATATATTTTTATTTATACATATTTTTTTCCTGCGGAAAACCAGATGTCCCAGCACCATTACTGAATATCAGTCACTTCCTCTACTTTATCTGCAGTGCCGATATCAAGTGCCATATATCAGATTTCTATGTATGCTCCATTATAATCTTACGGGACTACCGTTGTATATGCAGTCCATCGTTGATCTAAACGTCATTATGCAGTGCATGACTGCATATTATTATCTACTTTTACAAATGGCAAAAATTGAAATTTGGTCAGAGTCATAAAAGCTAGTAAATTCAAAGCTTGGATTTGAATCCAGGATTTTCTAATTTTAGACACTAGCATGAAAATAGCATATAAAGAAATCTTAAAATATTTTTCCCTGGAAACATTTATTTATTGCCTGTTTTGGACATGGTGCTGACAGGGTACCAAAGTGATACAAGATGAGATCTCTGCCTCCAAAGAGCTTGCTTGGAGATGTTATCTTTTAAAAACACTTACATTAGATTTTTCTTATGTTTATATAGGGAAAAGTATGGGAGCTAACTTCTCAGTAATCTATTCTTCCAACCCATGAAAGTTTCTTAATTTGTCTTTTGCTGGCCTTCAATAGATTTATATAGGAATTTGTGTGCTGAAAAGTATGTGCTGTTAATAACAAGAAAGAAGAGTAAACAGATTGATGAACCAGTACTACATTTAGATTATTGTTTTAGAAGATAGTGTTTTACTATATATAAGCCCTATTTTTTGGCAAATCAACCTTCAGACCTGTAGAATCTAAAATTTAACACAGCCATTCACTGAGAGTGTAGTGAAGAAAGCTCTGAACAGCCTGGTATAATAAGTTCCTATATTTTATCTTAGTCTCTTTGTTTAAAACGAGAATAATTCATATTAATCATGATCTTGTAGCCCTTTATATAAATTTACATTTACTTAACATCTTAATTTTAGCACTGAATAATAATCTTTTTTGCTGTATTAAGCTAGCTCTGAAAACACATATTTGCTCAAATAAGAACTTACGAATCAAAACAATATCGGAGAACTTAAAATACAGAAATGTTACCTTTCAGTTTATAAATAAAATGTAGTTTTCTTCCTTTCAGAGTAATAAGTTCTTCTCCCATCCTCACCCCCACCTTCATTTCTAATGAAAAGTCTGTTTTATACTTTTTTTTTTAAGATTCCCACTAAAAATATCGAAGGTCAGATGACACCATACTATCCTGTGGGAATGGGAAATGGTACACCTTGTAGTTTGAAACAGAACCGGCCCAGATCAAGTACTGTGATGTACATATGTCATCCTGAATCTAAGCATGAAATTCTTTCAGTAGCTGAAGTTACAACTTGTGAATATGAAGTTGTCATTTTGACACCACTCTTGTGCAATCATCCTAAATATAGGTAGGATGTGCATTTAATATTTTAAACATAAAATGCACACATGCTTTAAAGTGTTCTATGCTTAGCTTTAATGCTTTGTTCTTACTGAATAGATTCAGAGCATCTCCTGTGAATGACATATTTTGCCAGTCACTGCCAGGATCGCCATTTAAACCCCTCACCCTGAGGCAGTTGGAGCAGCAGGAAGAAATACTAAGGGTGCCTTTTAGGAGAAGTAAAGAGGTATGAGAATTATCTAATAATAGTGTCACAGTGCTTCATTTTCTAAATTTCTGAGTACATATCAATATTTTAATGATTTCTTTAGTATAGTATAGTAATTTTATTTTACTGGCTCAAAATTTTAAATTTCACTTCTTTTCATTAATATTAATTCCTTTCCTTATTCTAGTACTTCTCGGAAGCTATTCTAGTATTCTTTTTTACTCATAATTTTATAATGTTTTAAAGTTTGACATCGTATTCATGGTAGTTAGCTTAATTTTTAGGTAGTTGTCCCAGCTAAACCTCTTGAAAAAATAGACTACAACCCCGTATCTACCTCCTAATACTTTATTTATTCTTCACCTCATTGCTACCCTTATAACTTTTCAATGCTACTTCCTTCTTTTGATCTATATCTTCCCTTTTCATCTGCCTATTGGAGATAGCCATATACACTTTCAGTAATCTCACTCATCATTTTTTCTCTTTCACACTGACCCTTTTTTTGTCTTCCCCAATGTTTTTAAAGCAGTATATGCTACCCAACTGACCAAGTCAGAAACCTAAGTCATTTTTCTTACCTATCTCTTCATTTATCTCTGACTCTAATCACTCACTGAGAGCCATCAGTGTTATCTTCTGTGTGCTTTTCAGATCCATCCTATAATTAGTTCAGGACCCATTATTTCCTGGGACCAGAAACTGATCTCACAAATCTTCTTTCTAGTCCTACCCAGGCAGCTGATAAAATGCTCTTTCTTAAATGAACATTTGATTATGTATTTAATCCTTTCGTAGATCATGAACTACACCGCAGAATAAAATCATTGTTCCTGGAATAAAAACCCCCTTTGTGTTCTGACTTCAGCCTCATTTTTTATCACCATTCCCCTTATCCCAGCTATTTTGAACAACTTAGAGTTTTCTAAAAGTACCATGTTCTTTCTGGCCTACTTTTCTTTGAATATACTGTTTTCCTTCTGTTGCTTTGTCCCCTCCCTCCCCTTCACCTCATTAACTTCTGCTTATGCTTGAATGTGATTCCAGTGTTACTTCCTTTGGAAATTAGCCAGGATTTCTAGGATTAGCTCAGGAAGAAATGAATGCTGCTGCTTCTACGGTCTTGTATTTTATTCAGTCCTCCATTATAGCACTATAGGTCTTACATTAAACTGGAAGGCAGAAGAAAATGACTAATACTTAGCTGCAAGGCTTGTTTTTTCCCTTCCTCTTGAGTACTTTTTGCAAAAGTATTGCTGGACTCTTTACGGATCCTGTGACCAACACAGTCATTCTGATAGAAGGAAAAAGTGACCTTAATATTAATTCCATAGTTTGACTTGGAGTACTGTATTGAGACGTCAGCTGGAATTCTCTTCTGGTTTTCTTTTTGATAGTGATCTGAAGACTAGCAAATACTTAAAAGTTCACTCAATCAAAATGCTTCCCAGATCCCAACTTTCATTACTCTTCAAGAAAAAGTACCAGTTTACTTTTCTTTAAATAATGTATTCAATCTGCCAGTTGAGAAAAATATATTTTTAAAAAGCAACAGATGATAATGCTTTCAAATTACTTAGCATCTTTAGGGAACATGTGCCATATGAAAATCTTAGATGATGCTGTATGATAAATAGTTACTTACAACTTATCTTTGGCTGGGCGCTGTGGCTCACACCTGTAATTCCAGCACTTTGGGAGGTTGAGGTGGGGGATCACTCGAGGCCAGGAGTTGGAGACTAGCATGGACAACACAGCTAGACTCTGTCTCTACTAAAAATTTCAAAAATTAGCCAAGTGTGATGGCATGCACCTGTAATCCCAAGTACTCGGGATCCTGAGGTAGGAGGATCACTTGAGCTGTGGTTTGAGGCTGCAGTGAGCTATGATCGGGCCACTGCAGTCCAGCCTGGGCAATGGAGCAAGACTTTGTCTCTAAAAAAATAAAAATAAAAAACTTTATTTGAGAGTCATTTTTTAAATAAATCTATTACATACAACTTTTAAAAATGTATATTTTGCATATGGTTTGCCTTTTAAGTGTGTATCAAGCATCACCGTACAGATGAAGAACTTTTTCCTTTTTTAAACAAAAATACAAATCTGGCTATTGGAATTTTGGTTTGATGTTCTGCCTATGTGATTATCTTACATTAATTTAGAGATTACTAGACTATTAGGAGTCCATTTTGTGAATTTTGAAACTCTACTATATAAACTACTAATCATCCTATTTTTATTAGAATAATTTTCCTTAAAAGTGAAAGTGTAAGTTCTGTCCAAAATAAGCAATAATAAAGGGCCATGCTTCTATTCTTGCTACCTTATCCTTCTCTTAGCTGAAGGGTTCACTGTGCAGCATTATTTTCTTCATTAACCTTAATACAAATCTCATGTATTCCAAATTATTAGTGTAGTCTGTTAGACCTTTGTTCCTTAAAAGCAGTGACTATGTCTGCTTCATTTTTAATACTCAGCACTTAAAATAGTGCCAGAACATAGTAGACTGTGACCATGGAAAGAGTTATACAGTAAAATTCAGGGTCCTTTCAAAAAATAAGGCACCATCCTGGCAATCGTTGTTCTTCCTAATGTTGGTGGGGAGAAAGGATAAAGTCATTGGTTTCCGGAGTAACCATCCAGTGACTCCTCTGTAAGCTGAAATAGAAGCAGAAGAACCACAGTTGGTTAGTGGTAACTACAGCAAGTGAAAAAGGAGACATAGTGTCTGTCTACTATACATTTATTGGGAACTCATTTACTATCCAATTTTTATAAATTATTCATTTATAATCAGAACACTCACTTCTTCAATCGATTCTGGTCTAGATTCATTTCCTATGTACTCACTGTCAGTACCCATTAACCACTAAGTCTTAACTTATTAACCTCTTTTATAATTATTCTTTTCTCTCTTCCCCAACTCTGTCACTTCTTTGCTATGGTTAGTTAGTTAGTTAGTTAATTTATGTACCCAGACTTTTTCTGACAATTCCTTTACTTTAGATTCTCTTTGTCTCTGACATGGGTTACTGCAACTTCTAACTCGACTCTCTACCTCTAGATTTGTCCCTGCTATTCCTTGTTCCCTGCCACTGATAATTACTTAAAAATATGATCACAGCATATCTTTGCCTAAAACCTATAAGATAATGTCCAAACCTCTTAGCATATATTAGTTTTCCACCATATAGTGCCTGCTTATCTCTTTAGTTCAAATATTGTAGCCCCACGTCGTTGCTCTTACTGCTTCCTCCAATCCACATGCATATACACACACATAGAAACAGAACACACAGATATACACATAAATCACAAATTATTATTCATGTTTCAAGAATTGATCAAGAGTTTTTTCTTTGTGAAGTCTTCATATTTAAGTTCTTGGTCAAAGCCTATTTGAATCACCCCTGCCTCATGAATCTGCTATTCCCTACACCCTTATTAGTTTGTGTCTTCCCTATCGAATTTTAGATTCATCCAGGGCAACAACCAGGGCCTGTTTCATTTGAATAATTATAACTAATATTCATATTCATTCCCACCCAGCTCTTCTTTACCCTGCTTGTTATCCTTTCTTAACCCTTAGTGACCACATTTTCTAAAATTAAATGTAGGGACACAAAGCCTAACAAGTAGCAAAGTCCTCACTAAAAATAATGAAACAAAAAATATGAAATGGAAATTAGCCCTGTATGTTTAAGATGATCACCTATCCCAACTGGTATATGGAACTAACATTTGTCCAGAGTTTTCTCTATACCAGTAAGAATTACAAAGTCCATTTTCTTAAAACACATTAAAAACAAGTGGACTTTTCCATATTTTCTACAGTTTAAAAATAATGAGCCATAACTGAAAAAAATTAAATGTGGCATAAAAGCCCTTAAACATATGTATGTTTCATTTTAGGAAGATTTGCAATCAACTAAAGAAGAGAGATTTCCAGCGATCCACAAACCCATTGCTATTGGCTCTCAACCGATGCTCACTGTTGGAACAACCCACATATCCAAATTGACAGATGACCAACTCATAAAAGAGTTCCTTAGTGGTTCTTATTGCTTTCACGGGGTGAGAAGTAAACCTGAAGTTTATATATTTATCTTACAACTTCTACTTGTCAGTTATTGTCAGTAGGCATTAACAGCACTGAAAAAGGTTTTTGTCTATAGAGAAATGGCAGGATCCAGCCATTCCCAATGGACATTTTCACTCTGCAGTCTCATACTCCCACACCTCTGTAATTTAACCTATAGCCTTTGTTTTCTTTACTCACAAGGTAAAACTTGACCTTATCTCTGGCAATCATGTGTGATTCTGGTTGATTGCTGGAATGGGCATTAATTAAGGTATATCCTACATTTCGGTTATGTGGCAATCACATGTCAAATTTGAGTTAACATCTATGTTTACAAAGGTAAAATTTTGCCCCTGACTGTTAGCATCAGTGGGAGGGAGATACACTTCCAACTGGAGTTTTTATTTTATTTTATTTCATTTTACCAAAGCACTGCAGCAGTTATTCTTGTATTTTTCTTTTTTTATTTTTCAGTAATTTTCGGGGTTTTTTTGAGGTGGAGTCTCCCTGTGGTCTCTGGTGCCCAGGTGGGAGTTCAGTGACATGATCATACCTCATTGTAGACTCGGACTCCTGGGCTCAAGCCATTCTCCTACCTCAGCCTCCCGAGTAGCTGGGACTACAGGCATGTGCCACCATGCC